TGTTTGTCGTATTAGACAACAAACATGTTCCGTCATTGCTGTATTAATATAGAAAAAATGAAACACATAGGAACGCATAAAAGGCAAGCACCTAGCTATTTGATTAGTTTCAATTGATTATATTAAAATATATTACCTGTAACTGAGCGAGATCGGGTTATCTCACGTAAAAGTACCAGACAGATAGGACGAGATAGAAAAGTAAAGTCTAGTACAGGGTATGACGTGGGATATCTCTGTCTAAAGTCTAAACCCCTGGCTAGTCACTAAGCTAATACATAACCTTTGACACGATTACTACAGAGGAGCGACACCCGATTTCAAAGCGAGTCAATTGTTGCAGATTAGTGTTAATTTTCTCTGTGCATATAAATCCTGTATTTCCTGTACACTTTTTTTCCGTGTATGTTGTAGATTAATGTTAATTTGTTTTCCAATGTTGATTATGATGTTTATTTTTCTGTAGATCAAAGTCTACTCTCATGTATAGTGTAGGGTAGTATATTGCTGCCTTTATTCCAAGCTGAAGATGACAGTATATATATCAGTATCATGATTCGAAAAGTTTATTGTGGTCTGTATTGTTAGTGACTTTGTCCTTTATCTTATGGCATGCATGCACGATAATTATTCTACCATTATATAATCCCGATAACATTTACGAAAATTGTGTCCGAGTTGCAATGGGATTTCACTCAAATTCATCATAATGTTGTCACTGTAACCGCACCTCATATAAAGAATCTCCACCTATTTTGTGTTCTACCTTGTATATAAAGCTTGATAATCTACACCCAGTAACACGTTTTGTAATGAGTTACCTACAAATTAGTTCCTATCCTATCTCGTGGTAAAACAGATATTTCTCTGCAACCTGCATCATTTCTATATAGATAAACATATTTAACTGATTACCATCGTTTTGTATGTAGACGTCTCGTAGCTTTGTACAATTGAAGTATGATATATCACACCAATGAAATCTTAATTTATTACGGATAGAACATCGATTCTTTATACTACACGAAACACTTAATTTGTATTCGTAGATTTCCTGAGAGCGTGCACTTAAGGAAAGGATAAAAGAACACGTGGCGGACATCCGGCTGAGTAGAGATACACCGGTGGCACATCACTTTCTTTGAAAAGGTCAACAATTTATCGAAATTCCCTGGAATGTTGTTTGGACGTTCACGGAAGTAAAAAAGAACACCAAAGTGAGTTCTGATGCTGAAACATAGACGCTTAATTCACTGACAGGCACAGGAGAAATTTAAGACAGGATTGTCTTGTTTTCGTTTTATCTAATTACATCCTATTTTCATGCAAATTTATCAAACGAAAATATCAACCAAATGTAAATAAATAATGTTATTTAAAGTATTACCTACTTTTCTTTTATTACTATTAACAAAGTGTAAGACGCCACCGGAAGTTATTAACATGTATCACTTATACTTAGCACCTGAGCATGTGTTTAGAAAATGAGCTAATGAATATATATCAAGTCTTTGCACTCGATATATATCTCACTATTGCTGATGGTTGGAGATGTATGAAGCTGAATCAAACACCTGAGGGAACGTATAATCTTATAATCTTGAGTATCTTAACTGATCATCAGATAAAAGTTTCCTGAGATCCAACAGAATAAGTATTACAATGAATATAATATTTTCAAAAAGAATTGAAAATGTGGAATGAATATTTAATGATGTTAATTAAGGTAACAGAGCTTCACAACCCAATCTTGCAATCTCCTCTCCTCTCCGAAAAATGAAAAGTATCATGAATAGACCTCTAAACGAATTATTCACCTGCAGCGTCATGGCTATAATCATTAAATGAATAATGTAGTATGACTTCGCTATAATTAACGGTATGATTTTAATGTATCGTAAAACTATTCATGGATTACACAGAATTTCCTATTTATTGTCTGTCTAAGCGATCGATCAATCAACGAACCTCATCTTATGGACACTTCCATAGATCGGGTATCGTGCCGACGCTATACATTTTAGTTCTCATCTGATACATTGTTATTTACGTGTATTCTTTCACATAGGAAATTCGTTAAATCGTTATGAGGTTAGTTTCAACGCATTTAAATAGAATAGCTGTACAGCTTACTCTGTGTTGACTGGAGTTGATCACTCCAAACCTTTTCACGTCCGTTCGGAGAATCGAACCCCGGTCGTCTTGGTGAAAAGTGAGTGCGCTATCCACTGCGCTACCCGCCTTCTATTATCTGCTTTATCGACTTAACCAGCCGAGGCCATCATGGGGCCTATTCGTTTATGCGGAGCAACCGGTTTAACCGGTTTGTAAATGTTACATTTTCGGGAATAAATCCTTGCGGACCTGCAACTATTTAGGCAGATCTTGCAAGGCTTTGTCATGGCCCGGCTGAAAGCAGCATCAGATTACTAGGTCCGACCTTATTTAATAAACGAACAACTGTGGTCCGACCGGGTCAACCGCTTAAACGAAAACGGCCCTGGTCAATACAATGACTTCAAGCCAGAACCGGGGTAGAGACAAAAAACCAACAATCGACACTCTTAGCATACAAGGAAAGTGTGTGATAGGGAGCTTAAGGTCGATAATCTCAGTCTCTAATTAGATCAGAAATAATTATGTTATTATCCTAAACCTGGAAGAAACAGAACTGATTCAGTATTTACATTCGTAACGTGAGCGGTATGTTCCTACAAGTAAATACCAGACTTAGAAAATGTCTATTTTTCGTCACTAGTCATAGGATGGGTCTACAATTACAAAGCAGAGACACGTGTTGTCGAATGTTGTTCTGATAATGCATCTGCAGATTTATTTAGCTTGCAATGGGACAATATAGTGTTACGTTTGTTGATATTGAACTGTTTGATCAAGGTCTAAAACTGCAGTGAATAAGCAGTGACAATATTTCAATGCTATTATTATAAAAAGGTTTTGGAATCACGCCACACGAACATGGCATATTGCAGGTGATTAGTCTGATGAAAACCCCCCACTAATCCCTTACTTATTAATCAATCAATTCGGCAATGTATATTTTATACCCGTTATGTAATTGAAGGATTACCAACGAAAACTGAATTTTCAGGAGTAGAGTCGCCTGCCTCGGAACACTTTCACGAAGAATTTCAATAGTATTGTATTTATCCCAGTCTGGATAAAACACACCTGTCGGAAACTATTTATTTTACAAAAAAACAAAAACCTTTGATACATTGCAAAGTTTAGCAATCGAACCGGTGTTAATAAAGTGCTTTAATAAAATCGACCACTTACATCTGTTTTACAAATAACATCTTAGCCATTCTAATTTTAGAGAGTGTATACACCAGTTCACCAGTACTGAACGATATCAATAAAACCCTACATGTTAATATCTCATCTTTGGATATTTTTTGCTGACGTCATGTGTGAGATATAACTACATTGTACCTAACTCGCTAGTATGTGCTCACCTCTCGTTGACTGAGCTATATGAGGGATCAAATGTTAATTGAAGGATATTTTTATTCAGCAAATATGGCATACAATATACATATCAAAACATGATGGCTTGTGTATGTCATTATCTACAGCATTCATACAAAGCCAAAATAATACAGGATACTGAGAAGTTATGGCTTACATAATATTTTCTTGTGCGATATGGTTAAAAAAGTTTTACAAATAATCTGGTACTATATTTGTGTGGAAAAACATAAAAATAATATATAAAACAAAAAATATCAATTTATGAGCAAACACAAATAATGACAAAATGAAAAATTGTTGTTTTACAATTAAACTTTTGCTATGTAGGATAAGACGTTGGGAAGAACAATTTCCTCATTGTTTTTATTAGTTTTTCTAGCCCCATAGTAAAAGTCTATCACCACTGTTGAGAGTGAGGGACCAAAAGTGATACTTTCAATACTGTAACTGTCAAAGAGAAAGAAAAGGATCTTTCGCGTACCAATAAGTACAAAAGTGGATTATCATTCAGGTTTTTGTCATCATACAAATAGCCTTAGAGTTGACTACTTCAAAATCTATGTCAAGTAATGAAGGATTAAGCCTGAAAGTAACCAATCGTTGATACAAAGGTGGCCGACACTAATTAAAGATAAGGTACAGCTTTAGAAAAACCGTAGACGGTTTGGTTTGGTTTTAGTATTGTTTAACGTCCTATCAACAGCTGTGGTTATTTAAGGACGGCCTCCTCTTTGTGCAAGATGCATGCGTGTAGTGTATGCGTGTGTGTTTTGGGAGGCTGCGATATGTTCGTGTTTGTCCCCTTGTGATTGACCGGTATCGATGCCGATTTATAGTGCTATCTCACTGAAACATACTGCGGAAGACACCCAGCAGGATAACCCACCCGGTCACATTATACTGACAACGGGCGAACCAGTCGTCCAACACCTAAACTGCTGAGCGTTAAGCAGGAGTAGAAACTATCTTTTTACAGATTCTGGTATGTCTCGGCCAGGGGACAGAACCCAAAGCTTTCCTCACAGGGGCGAACGCTCAACTAAAGGCCAAAAGTGAGGCATTGTCAAAGGAGACATTAGGAAGAAGAAAATTGTTTAAAAAGAATAGACAAGATAAAATTTAGTCGCCTCTTACGATCATGCAATGGGGGCAGCAGATGCAATTCTTACGCCCTACCTGCAGTACCGTAGAAAAGTTATCCCAAAGCAGTGTAGGGATTCATTCTACAATAAATTATTGCGAAAGCCTCAAAGTTCAGATGACACAATAACTAAGATATAAGGAAACAGCAGAAGTATCTTTTTATGAGAAAGTATAATTCTGTGTTTGTCTCTCATATTGCTCAGATCCTCCCAGTCGAAATGACCATCGAAATAAAGTATCATCTATAGCACTCAACATATGTCATTTTCCCCTCTTTATAGTTCATTTTTCACATTCTATTCAAAGAGACAAGGTTATTGTATGAATAGAGACACAATGATCGATAGTACGACACATACATATTATCAACGAAATAACCTTTTCATTTCAGCTCTGAATGAACTATCAAAGAAACCGTATATAAAGGGATTCGACACATGATTTAACAAGAAGAACTGAAATATGAACAGGTACACCTGTCTTTCTATGGATGAGTAATATATCCAGAACTCGTCTGAGTCAAGGTTGATGCACATGTTCACAATAAGTGACGGAACATATGTCACTCCACAAATGGCCGAAATCGTCATAAACATTAGAGAGTATCGATGTGTAGCCCATTTATCCTTTTTCTTCTTCCTCTTCCGTTCACTATCAGGATTTGTTGAACCGGAAGTTCCGACATTTTGGGATGTCGTTGCCTGAGTGTCTACGGTCGAGGTTTCTTCTTGTTTAGAGAATTCCATATCAGCAAGTGACCTTGTATAGTTGTTCACTCGCAACCCGTTTTCCATTAAGCGTTTCTTTTTCATCTGATTGAAGATCCTTCTGCCAATCAACACGTACATGACAGCGATTCCCGATATAAATGAAAGGGCGGTAGCAAACATGCAGTAAAAGTAAATACTTATAGCCAATTCAAAATCCGGACTGACGTTTGTTCTTCTGCCACACCGTGAACCCGTGACCTCTAATATGCCGTTATGGATGGTCGACGTTCCGTAGAAAAAGAGTATTGGAATGTCAATCAACACGGACGAAATCAAAAGCACAATGACAGCAGTTTTTTGCCAACGAATGGTCATTTGCCATCCGAATGGCCGACACACTTTTAAATACCTCTGTATAGCGATTACGAGGATCAGCATACCGGAAGTGTTACTAAGGTTTCGGCCATTAAACCAGGCAATTTTGCAACCCCAATTGTCATAGAATGTCACAGGCAAGATGTTCAGAAGCAGATAAGTGGCTGGACCGGTTACACAGACGCATATATCCAACACAGCAAGGACCATGATAAAGAATCGGTCTTCAAATTTCTTCTTAATCCTGAATTGATAAATTATGATGATAAGAATGTTACCGGCTACTCCGAGAAGTATGTACAGGCCTAAACATACATCCAAACCTATGAAGGAGTAAGCTAACTCTTGATTCCATTTTGACACCGTATATCCATCCGCTTTTCCTGGTTCTACCTGCCCTGTAGCTGATAGCGAGTCGTTATTACCACTCTCGGCTGTACTCAATAAAAGTCCGGCCATGGCGTTAGAAGCATTCATCGCATTCGTGAAAAATGAACTTTTACTAGCGCTCTCCGTTATGAAGGATGGGAGGAAACTAAGCGATGAACGTGAAATGTTATAAGCTGATCTGTATCCTGTAGACACGGACGGGAAATGGCAACTTGAATACCGGATTATATGTCGGTGAAGCGTTTCCGCCCAACAGTTAGCCATGTATTATTTATCATGTATATTGTGTATCAAATGCAGAATTATAAAATGGAACACTTCATACGTTCTGAATTGCGCGATTCTTCACACAATCGGACAAATCAGGAACCACAGTATCACAATCTATCGTTATCTTATTTCAATTTGTTTCCCATGCCTGAATCATACCAACTACATTTAGAGAAGGGAAACGATTCATACTACAATTTAATAGTCATTGACTAACTACTGTACAGTTTTTAAATTTCGCGGTGTTAAAATTTCGCGATTTTGTGAACGGAACTTGTATTGTAGTTGTTACTAGTGTGATATACTATTCAACGCTACAAACAAAAATACAACTCTCTTTCCGACAGTTTGCTTAGAAACATTGGTGAAATGGTAAATATGTTTACAAAATATGTCAATGAATCTTTAAAATGTCTTGGAATAAAGACGAATAAGTAAGTACACATTGTACATAAAAGTACACAAAAAGTTGTATATACAGCTACGAAATACATTGTATTTAAACATATGTATAATAATACATTGTGAAAACACGTTCATGATACAATGTTTATACAATATATACATGTACAAAATACTTTACATGGTACATTGTTAAAAATATACAAAATCCATGATATATACATTTACGCAATACATTGAATTTAAATTTACATAAAGTATTGAATAGACATGTACATAATGTATTATGAAAACACGTACATGATACAAGGTACAGTTTGTCTATGTACAAAATACAATGTACAAAATACAAGTAAGTAGCAGTCCTGTTGATAATACTAGGCTACGTGATGGAACACAGCTGGTCTTTTCACGCAAACCGATCCTCCGCCTCCCTCCTTCCCTTTGATTCTTTATGATATAGGTTCTAACCGTGGTTGTAGTCAATCGTTGTATTCGAGAGAAAATCTAGTGTTTACAGGAGGAATTTTAATAACGTGTGCAAAGCTTGAAAAGTGTCAAGGCTTATACGGGCCAACACAGGGTTACGCTCACGTACGCTCTCTGCACCCCTGGAATATTTCATAGCAAAACATAAGGCACAACGATAGCTGTTTGATTGGTCTCAGATTAAAAAAAAAACCCTGACCAATTGCTAGGCTGACACCTGTACTTTGAAGATTAGAGAGGAGCGACACCCGACTTCAAAGTCAGTCAATGTTTATCGTTACGCGACGGCAAGATCGTTTTGATGTACATCAAAGGATCAAACTAGTCTTCATGTCTCCTCAACAAGGTGGCGACAGTTAATGATCCTTCAATTTTGCTATGACATATTCAGGGATGCAGAGAGCGTAAATGAGCGTATACCCTGGATATCGAGGCTGGGGCCAATACTGCGTTGTCAAAAACATCAGAAAGCAAAGCAGAATTTGACATAAAAATTTGCCACACACCTGACAAAATCCAACTGCTTTTGTAATTGCTGACAATATAATGTCAAGAAACCTCTGACAAAATTGAATTGCTTAAGTGTATTTTGATATGGCTGATATCGGCCATCGTAAAACGTGTTGAAAGTTTATTTCGTTAACGTGCACGTAGACAAAGGGAGGAAACCCAAGCTAAATGTTTCAGCGTGATTGTCGTTAGATCATGGGATGATGAAGTTGAAAACCATGTTGCTCGCTAACATAAATACGAGGTTCCTATTTGTACAATTACATGTAACTATTCATCCTTAGAGGGCGTGTGTCGTGAACGACCTCAAGTTACATGCCATTACATTGATATAATGAGTTATCAATAGTTTCATTTTTTTATTTAATAAGTTTCAATTTTTAAAATCATGTTAGGCATAATGATATTAACTGAAAAAAACATTAAACTCACAAGTACTCGCCGGATGATTGGCTTGTGGAATATAAATTCTCAAAAGATGTCTACAACATCTAAAATCCTGACGAATCAAGTCCGGGAATTGAACAATACACATGTTCCTGTCGTTTTACTTACATAAAACTGTATAACTCTGCATGAGCAATATTAGCCCCATGGGGCCTCTCGTTATTATCTTGCATTTGTTAAATGCATAGGGCATGCAGTGTTTTGAATCCGCTAAATGACATGACACTCTCCAACCACTTAACTCTCATGCCCTACCCATGTTTATACGTGTTACAACTTGTGACTAAGCATGCTATTTGTTCCTGTAATCAATCAACTCTTACATTTGTATATACTTATATTTAATATACAATATCAACGTGAACTAAAATACTCTAGTCGCAGTATTCTACAATTGTAATATGTTATGTGACATACATATACATTCTAGCGACATGTACTTAGTTTTGCTCAGTGACAAGAATATCATATTTAAGTTTTATGTGTCCTTGAAAATGCATTGAATGTATACACAGCATATATAGCGGCAATTACAAGGTCGGAGAGTCAACCATCGAAGTTATACATAGTCTTAAGTAACAGGATATATCTTTTATGAGTAACACTAGTTAGCATGTTGAATTAGCAGTATGAAAGGGGAAAAAAATCGAACTTGCTTTTAACAACGTTGTGTCCATCGATAAATACATTATCATGAGTGTCATTGATACTTTACCATTTGGTTGATTGTTGCTATGAAAATTAGTTTGATATTTTCAGAGGTTTCTGTTAATTTTATTGTGTAATCTGAATTAAAGCATAATACCAATGCTACTACGACTTTAAAAACACAATAGTGTAAATCCGATTTGTTATGGATCTGTTGTGGTTCAGCAATTATAACCTGTAACTTTATGTAAGTTGTTTCGATACTGGATGTATTTCATTTTAACGTACCACTGCACTAGTAATGCTTGCAAAGAAGAGTTCCATTCAGGTTGTATTTACTTCGAGTAGATGAAGCACAAAAGGAGGCTTTCTGGCTTAGTGCATCCTCGATACTCCAGAGGTTACGCTCACGTTTGCTGTCTCCACCCCTGGAAAGTGGCATAGCGAAATTGAAGGAACACGGCTACATGTAGTTATTTGATTGGTCTAAGGTAAAAAAATGTCTAGGCGATCGCTAGAATTATGTCTGTCCTTCCGGTGAAGCGACAACCGACTTCAAAGCTTGTCATTGTTACCGTTACGCGACTGATGGATTCATTTGATGTACATCAAATGAACAAAGTGGTACACAGTGATCCTTCAAATTTACTGTTATATATTCCAGGGGTGCAGACAGTGAAAGTGAGTGAATTCACAAAACAGTGATGAAACAAAAGTGAGTTGATATTATTTCATCATTTGATCGATCTATTATATAAACACCTTTAATACCAATTTCTCCTTTCATCCTGCTAGTTTCCATTACTACATTACTTCTTCATTTATTTCCAATCGTTTGTTGAGTGCGATTAGTAATCTGCCCCAGAATCTCCGACGTCCAGCTTCATCCTTCGGCCACTCGTTGTAGGTGACAGTGTCCAGTATTGACCGTATGGATGATGGTAGAATGCCGACCTCCATTTCCTCCAGAAGAATGACCGTCAACACTCCAGGACCCTCCTGAATCAGGCGTGTTTGTATCAATGTCAGCTCGTATCGACACCACTCACTGTCAAGGAAGGCACGAGACAAGACCAGAATGACATTTCTACTAAGTTGGATATTAGCGGTTATGTTGTCCAGAATAAATCGACCGACATCAAAGTCTCTTGAATGTACACACAATCTACAGTGTGCCTTTTCCTCCAGTTCTGGTATCATTTCCTCCATGACAAAGTGAGTGTCCTCATGGCAGTAGATGACAAAGGCGTCGTACTGATAGTCTGCGTCGTCCTCGATCCTCTGGTAGCCCATCCTATGTAAACCAAGGATATGTAACCAGTACCTCAGGTAGAATCTGTATCTGTAGCCAATGATAACCACGATAGTCGTCACAATAAATGTAAGTGATATTCCAATACAAACGTATTCCAGGAGTTTGTCGACGGGAGAACATTCCAGTTCAGTTGGGTTATAATCACTTACTAGTTTACCATTTAGTTCTGGGGGATACAAGCATTTGTATCGCTTATTATAGACAACATTTGATGTGTTTGTAGATTTCATCCAGTTTAGAAACCACACTAATTCACAAGTGCACGAGAAAGGATTGTCCGAAAAACTGAACTTGGTCAGAGACTGAAGGAAGCTTGATGGAAAAGATGTCTTGTTCACCAGTTTTATATTATTACCTTCCAAAAACAGCTCTCTGATTGAGGTGACATTTTCAAACACTGCCGGGTCATCGTTCCATCCACTTATACGGTTGCCGTTGAGCACTAGTTGTGTTATATTTGGCATTCGTTGAAATAAATTTTTGGGCAGGTCGAATAAATCAGCAGATTGTAGTATAAATCTCCTCAGGTTTCTTAGGTTTCCAAACATTCTGTTTAATTTGTTGGCCTTAGACGGTAGGTAATTATTAGTCAAATCAAGAGTCACAAGTTTAGGTAAAGATTCAAAAACAAATGGACTTGGTTTTTTATCAAACCTGTAATTATTTTGAGTGAAAATCAATTTCTGAAGAGTTGAAGAATTAAACGCATTCGGCTGAACATTGATTAGTCGGTCTCCGACTTTCTTAAGGGAAAGCGATTCTAAGCGCGGAAGATGGGTAAACGTGTTCTTCTTTATTACCCTAAGTGTTGTTTGGTCAAGTATAAGTTTCCATAGAAAATTGAGACATTTGCTAGAAAGCTGGTCTAAACTTAATATTGGATTTGCTGTTAAGTTAATTGAGGTATATCTGCCTGTCTCTACTCCAGAAGGTCCACAGAAAGATGGAATCTCTTGAAGGTGATTAAAGGCTAAATTTAGATGAGTTATTTTGGTGAATTCGAACCCTGTAGAATCAAAATTTGACAATTTATTGTGAGACAAGTCAAGTTCATTCAGAACATGTAAACCTGCGAAATATTGACCTCCAATAACACTTATATCGTTGTTTTCCAGTGACAGTTGTGTTATGGTCGAATGTCGAAATCCTGTGAACATGTCTTTTGGAATATTTACCCAGTTGTTCGATTTGAATATCGCTCTGTCTAAAGCAACAATACGTCTTAAAACATTTGACACAACAGTTGGTTTGAGGTTGACGTTGTCGCTTATCTCTAGAGTAGTAAGATTGGTCAAATCATTGAAAGCATCAGGTTCAATATCTGTTGTATTTGTTCTCACGAAATGTAACCTTGTTATATCATAAATAGTCAAGTTAGATAGAAATTGACGAGTCATATTGAAATAATTGGTCGATCTAAACGTTGCGTGATTTACATACCGTGGTAGCCTAGGTATGTATGCTAACACTGTTCTTTCACCGGTGCATATCGCTGATTTCCTACGGACTTTGCACACACAGAACGGTTGAGGGCACGTAGTTCTGTTGTGTTTTTTCTCAAATCCATCATTCAACGCCTCGGCAAGGATCAACATTTGTACAATAATCGCCAAAACAACCCTCATTTTCATTTCTTCTTTTCTTCCTTTTTCTGAAACAATATAAGTCATTTAATAATTTCATAGTGTAGATTCGAACTAACACACAACAATTTAATTGCCAAAATATTCAGGATAAACTATTGAAATAGTATAGATCCGAACTAACACACTACATTTAATTGCCAAAATATTCTGGATAAACTATTGAAATAGTATAGATTCGAACTAACACACTACATTTAATTGCCAAAATATTCTGGATAAACTATTGAAATAGTATAGATTCGAACTAACACACTACATTTAATTGCCAAAATATTCTAGTTATAACAGGTTAATTCAAAGGTTAGATTTATCGATACTCGTGTATACTTTTCTTTTAGTATTGGATGCTCACGTCATTGATGTTAACCTGCCTTTCAAAAGATAATATAATATCAAAACTAATCATTAGAAACGCACAAGCAAAACGAATATAAAGAACTCATTCTTGACTCTAAAAACAATGTAGTTAGCTAGCAGTAGTGATCTTACATAAGCTTAACGTAAGCTAGAAAAGAATGTAAAGTTATGAAATATGTATAAAAAACATTAAAATATTAAAGTTACATCTAAAACACTTTATAATGATACAAATACACGTTTGGTTATATTTTTCTTATAAGATATGTACAATCGGGCTTTATGTTACTTGCATCAGAATAAATTCCAGCTACATGTGTGAACGGCTATGGCCAAATTCTGGAACCGATAGTCCTCCGACAGATTAGCAATTTTGAGGAACATTCATCTATCGAAATTCGATACGAAGTAAGCCAGCATCTTGTTGAAAATTTGGTACGTCGATGGGGGAAGCAAAACATTTAAAGCACCTTATAACCATTGCATCCATTTACTTATCTTCAGTGGTATTAAAGCTCAATAGAATGAACGTACATCTTTAAGGTGTTTCAAAACATTTGTAAAAATATGACAAAATAATATCAATGTATACGAAACCTTCATAACGTCAAAAATATACCCTTTTGACTCAAGCAGTTGACATCTAAATAAGTATGTTATATAGCTGAAATATCCAAAAGCTGCATAAACGCAACTGTAACTTATATAATAGAATTGTACACTATATTATTGTGTACATAACATTGGTTTCTTGAAACGTAATAGCGTTACTTTAATTATGACGTATAGTATTTAATATTTAGAGATTATCATATGACCATTTTGATATCACACCCCATATCAGCCTGAGAGTCCTGATATCAGCCAGAGGGCTATTATCAGGACTCGAGGGCTGATATGGAGTGTGATATCAAAATGGTCATGTCATAAACTTTTTATCATATGTTTTTTTCCTTTAAAATAAACAAAACATACACAAACAAATCATTTCTTTATTTTATTTACTGATATTCATGAAAATGATAACAAAAACAATGATGTATACTAATAAACAAAACAGTAACAACTATCATAAAAAGTCAACATTTAGAAATTCATAAATTCTTACAAAATAACATGGTTATTAAAAGTTTTAACAATATAACACAATGGATCTGGTTGGAATTCAATTTAATCACTTTCTGAATCGATCATCAACCCAATACAATTTTCAATATCCATTGGGCATTCCTCACTTAATGATTACGCTACGGTAATACTAACTAGCTTATTGAACTATTTATATTCATTTGAATACTGTACCTACCTAAAGCAAGCGCCCCTCTTTCCATACAGAATTGACACTTCTTCCTTATTTAGTGAATCAGCAGCATTTGGGCGGTTTCCTTTGCCTTGAGTCTTCAAATTCTTCATTTTGGCACTTAGCACATCACGAGAATGTTTGAATTTAATATCGGTCGAAATATTGACGTCGTAGTGTTTCTCCTGTAGGTAACGGTTAATGCTTGATTGCTCAAGTTCAAGGTCAAGTTCTTTGTTACTTTTAGTCGGTTGACTTATCAGTTATAACATATATACAAACAATACAGAGACAACATACAATATGATACACACACACATACACACACGATCGTAGTCAGATTTATCGTTTTTTCTGACGATCATGAAGAACCTGGCCATGTAATCCGCCAACTGAACCGAGTCAATAGACTCTAGAGATCTCCACTCATGTTGAGACATCAGATAATCCGTGAAAATTTTGATGTTGGATTGCGTTTTTCTCGCAGTATTCTTGTTCCTCATGAAAGATGAGGAAATGTATCCTTGTTCCTCCTTGTTCCACGAAAGCTTCGGTATCATTAACTAGCATTATTAAATCGCCCCCCCCCCCCCCTGCATCCATTACACGTTTCGTCTCCTTTTCCAGGATTAATTCATCTAGTTTAACAATCCTTGATGCCAGTTCCTCTAACATCTCCTCGCCAGTACTAGCTATAGACGTCGCCATCGTTGTTTTTGTTTACGCAGACAACACGTGTATCACTAATAAGCAAATCCAAATACGGAAGCGGCGCCATCCGGATATTTGGGTGGGGCTTTGTTAATCAATCTTTAAATTATTTTCCATGAAACGGCATTTATTCCATGCCAACAATTCGTTTGTTTACATTAAAAGCAGACAACAATAAGCGATAACGGCAAAATCCGGAAATTTAGGAGGGGGTGTGATATCCCTTTTTTAGGGGGTGTGATATCACTTTCAAGGGGAGTGATATCACTCTAAGGGGTGTGATATCACCCGGGCTGATATCAACTTGTGGAAATTTTAGACTTATCACATATACAAAAAGGGTGTTATTATTAGTAAGCATATGATAAAGTAAAATTAATGACGTTGATCACATTATCGTGACGTGTTGTAGTTTTGTATGTAAATCATTTCTATGGTAAAAAGTATAAATAATAAATTCAAAACTTACTGATTTAAAACAATTATGACGCAAGCTCTATTAACTGTCAAATGTTTAGCCCGTTTTTATTCCGGATGGCAATGCACAAGATTCTTAACGAGGGACGGAAACGAAGCACCCGGGGAACCTACGTGGTTGGGCAGGTGGCCCCGTATCTTTTCCCGTCATATAGGGTTATCACACGTTGACCGTCTTGGTGAAAGACCTGTGCATTATCTACTAACACAGTTATATTACAGACACGTACAAACACACTGCCTCGTGTGTTTATATTTTATTCTACTTTATAACGCTGACAGTAAAGCTCAAAAACAAAACTTAAGATAGATGAAGAATAACAAACGAAATGTAACGCTTTTTTTCTCTAGAGTGATTGTAGAAATCTAACGGGTCAATCCCGTACTGACGGGTCATGTGATGCTGTACAACGTTTATTTGTTCTCTCTGCATTTCTAAGCAACACTGTTCTTAGTCTTGAAAACGGTTATTTAAAGATCAGAAGGGTGGCACCAACCGCATATATCAAGTGTGAAGTTGGTAAAGCAGATAATGGTGGTCAGGTTGCGTAGTGGATAGTGCACTCGCCTTTCACTAAGGCGGCAGGGGTTCTATTCCCCGATCGGACGTGAAATGGTATGGGTTCACCTGCCCGACCAGGTGGGTTTTCGCTAGATATTCCGGTAACCCCCATCATCAATACCCCCAGCTCGGGCAAACAAGAGTGATTTATATAAGTTGTTATAACATGTTACATAATTGTTGTAATCTAAGTTAACTTTATATTATAAAGCTATGCCGGGTACTTTGTCATAACTCTAACTAGCCCATGCTGTAAGCAAAACTTCCTGTTATTAAATATTACTATCGGACGAATACTGTGTTAAATCACACGCACTTACTCCCTGAAGTAAATAATTAATAATAACAATTCGAGGTTCTTATATACCGCTTTATCACAACCTACATGTAGTTTGTAAATCGTCTCAAAGCGGTTCACAAATTATTATCCGTGGTTATAGGGCTTTAGCAACCAGACACTATATTATCAATTCCTTGGGGAGCATAAAGCTGGTGCTGCCATTTCGGCACTCACAGCTAGCATTCAACAATTCTAGCACTACCAAACCACGAACTCATTTACAGCTAAGTAGACTGAAACAATCAGTGTAAGGTATCTTGCTCAAGGATACATCACAGTGCCGTGATGTGAGTCGAACCCGTAACCCTTCTGTCACCCCGTCCTACCACTACATTACCGTGTTTTTCCAATAAACGAACTCATATAGTTACTTTAGTGAGATTGTGTGTGACATAGTCAAACTGTGTGTGAAATAGCTATGATTATCATACAATGAAGAAGAATTTATCTGTTATTTTACTTACCTATTTTCGGTGTCGTTGACAGCTCTGTCTAATGTATATGCAGATAACTCAGTCGTTTCTTCTTATTAGATGTTTAGTACATTATAACTGAAACCGGAATAGGAAAGTACAAATGAATGATGATTAATTTATTAAGGAAATTTACCTATGTACCTAATTGCGCACATTTGCACCCCTTTCAGAAAAGAGTATGGCAGTCGTTATTTAGAATTAATTATAAATTATTTAGTTGAAGAGCCCACACGAGAGTATCAGATTACAGGTGCAGGTAACCCTGTATGAATTCAAAGATTTTACTTGAATAAGCACTACATTTCTATATTCCGTGTGGATAAGATGAAGTATGTCTTTAACAACATTTAAGATAACAGTAGAAAAATACATTTCTATATTCTATGTGGATGAATTGTATCTACAACAACAACAACAACAACAACAACAACAACAACAACAACAACAACAACAACAACAACAACAACAACAACAACAACAACAACATTTAAGTTAACACAAGAATACATGCATACAAATGTATATATATTCTATGAGGTGTGAGGTCCAGAATTTTTCTAACAACTTTTCACGCTTTATGGCATACATTGTAGCAGCATATTTAGGATCAACGCAAGTTCTTAATTTTATTTGAATCTTATCAGTGATGTATTGGGAAGTATTCTTCAGGAAATATTTCTTATTTTATTACAGCTCACTTACATATTTTGAAATATTTACCGAATTCTTCCTTATAGCTAGAACACATTAGAGTGCGTTTCAGGTAGTTACAATAAAGATGTAGCCTAACAGAGTTTTAGTCATAAAAGAGGAAGTTTTTTTTAGCGAACACGTAAGATTATTGTTATGATGATAATGCCTTAACATAATTACCGTTCAATTATCTATCGCAGAAATATGAAAACAAATATATGTTAAAAAAATATTACCAAAAATAAAAGTTAAATTTAGCATACATGTTTAAATATTTGACATTCTGTTTATAAAACGAAAAATCATGTGGCCGAACAGGAAATATATATTTCCTTATTTGTTTAGTGTCGACCCTGTACATATTATTATCAAATATGTCCTGTCTGGTTTCTTTAATGATTGCCGACGTTTAGTTAAAATTATACTGACAAGGCCATAGAATTTAACTAATCATTGCCGTAAAACCTCAGCACACGGTGGTGGTTGTACTAATAGTTTAAACGGAAATAGGAAGTACATTCCTAGTTGAAAATTCAACGTAGGGAGACAGTATCACAATAATGTTTAATATCAAACTGATGAATATTGTATATTTATTATTGACAGAACTGTGTGTTCTCTCAATATTAAAGTATTTCAAAGCAATCCAGGCTTTTTTTAATTTTTTTTTTATCAATGGGTCACATGTGTCCATTTTTCTGTACTTCAAAAAATTAAACCAGCTACCTACTACTGTTAAGTTTTTCAAGAAAGATAACTCTTACATTCAATTACTATTTGTATATGGTTTTATTATAAAATGTCAATTTTTAATCGTTTATAGATAATTAATTTTATACAATTTTCAGCATTTATGAAATTGATATACATTATGCAATACTTATCTATGTCAGTATCATTTTTATTGACATTATTCTGCAAAAAATTGTCTCTCATTTTTTTTTCAAAATTTACTCCTTTTTACATAAATTTCCATTTAAAATCCTTAAAATTCTGACATTTTTTATTTTTTTTTGCAGCAGAAAATTTTCTTCTTCAAAAGCAATATAACAATATAACAATCCTATTACCTTAACCTTTAATATGTAAATGTAAGGTTTGATAAATACATCAATGTTCATGTATTCGTTTTAGTAATTATTTTATCATGTCATGTTCACCAACTTCCTTTATGTGAACTTCAATAGCATAACAGGAGGCTCAAGAACAGTTTGTTATATATAATCTTAAGTGCAAATATGTTGTAACGCGGGACGAGCGTCGGTAGAGATAATTATAGAAATGAACAAAACAAACTAATAAGTTACACAAATACAAACAATTTATTTACAATAAGCACAAGCACATTTCATTAAACATTTCTATCATCTCTCTAGCATCCACTCATTCACCTACATGCATTTACATATTTTCACACATTGATATCCATACAAAAGTTCACAACTCCAAATAAGCCAGCTAATTGCATGATACCAGTCAATGTTCCTTGTTTGAATACTATGGCGGTTCCTGTGCTGTCTGTTACTGTCTACTGAATGACACAATGGACAGATAGTCCTCTCCTGGGTGACAACAGTCTCAGTATGTGTGACACCGCTGACTAACCGTAGCCTTTACTGACGGTGGAAATATATGATGCGCGCTATGCGCTTCTCTCGAACCCTAGTGTCCACTACGAGTTCCCTAACTATACAGCTCTGGCTAACCCCTTGAGTGACCGTGACTTGCCAGCTGTGGATGACCTGTGGCTGACCTTGACCCTTCTCATGGGAAGGTCCTGATGCCCCGTTCGCTGGTATCCACTGCAATATACATACTTATAAACCAATAAAGTATTTCCAAAAACATATTCATACAATTTAGCCTACATGCACGTGCTGTACTGTGGTAATCGCTCACTACCCTAGCGTCACGCATGACCGGACCGCACTATCCTATACGGCTAAATAGACGTTAACCGGACAATATTAGGACATAAAGATGGAAAAATAGAGTTACATAAAGCTTAATACTAATAGTACTTACCACAGTCTGTAACTTGTGCCTGTAACTACTGAGGTGAGTACTAAAACCCATGACAGGAAGCTATGGCGCGTCCGCACATGTTTACCTGTGTCCTGAGCTCGTGCACTTCCGCTCCCTACCTATTTACTTACCGTAACGTCCGTCAACTGACCACGTGCTTCATAATAACAATAACACTGGACATTCACATATATATACGATCAACATAAACACCACGAGACAATACATGCGATCGTGCCATATGTGATGGCGGCAGAAAATTATTTGATACTGAATAATATCAAATGTCTTTTCCAAGTACAGAGTTTGTGAATAGGATAATGTCATCAATGATTACTGCACCTGTTCTTCACTTAAATGATGTATGCACTTAATCAATGCTTCCATGATAGGAAATGCAGTTTATGCTATGTGAGATACATTCTCAGATTTAAATATTTCTGTTCAAGTTATTTTCTCCAGTAATTGGCCATACAGCATTTCGCCAAATAACCTTTCATCTTTCAGCTTAACCTTTGTACAAATGTACATCAATAATACAATATGTATTCTGTTTACTTTTCAGATGGTTTCCTGACCACTTTCTACACTTAATTCTTCCATGAGATCTCAATATTTATCATAATGTGTCTTATTTATGGGCATAATAAATAAAAGCATTAATGCCGATTTATTAGATCGGGTAAAACGCCCTTGTTTGCATACTATATTAGAATGTCAGGTTATCGATTTATAAGGGTTATACTTTTCCAGCATTGTACACATGCGAATAAAACAACGTTTGTCGTCTACAACCTGATAATTGCACAGACATGTGATACGTGAAGTCCAAAAAGCAGGAAACTCCATAAGAAGTAATATATAAGCAGATCAGTATAACGTTTTACCTCACAAAGGAAAACCACGTACGTGAAGCTACTATAAAGTATGGCGTCAGTAAGTATACAAGTCATTGTCTATTAACATAATGTTTTTAAAGATATTCGTACATGGTATCTCATACTAAGGATACTTCGAAAGTGAAAACGTTATTAATACATCTTGCGAGCGAATGCAGTTATTGACAATAAGCAACGTTCTGTTAGAAACAGGGGACAATGAGATGAGATTGATTAGATTGGAATATTTCATTAGTCATAGATAGTAGGAAAATAACGGGGGAAAACATAATTACACTCACTCACTCTCATATGGAACTTGCATGTATAAATATATTCTCACATGGAACATGTATACTAGCGGACAAAAGAAACTGTGCATGGGGAGAATTGTTATAGAACTTGTATTACCAGCTGTACATGTGTATACATGAAAATTCACACACATGGCCGAATATGACACATACACACTATCCGTGTGTCATTGGCAGTTTTTCCCGTGCAGTTTGCTCTCTATAGGCGTTGACCAGTTTGCACGTTTTTCTCTTCCAGCCATCCAATTCGACCAATAAGCCCGAGAACAGTATGGAACCGATTGCGTGAACGAGGTAACCGTCCGCGACGTCCTGCAATCCGCCCAGTTGTTCTTTATTTGTATTTTTGGTCACCTCAGCTTAACTCAAATGACCTATTGCTATCCTTCTTCGTCCGTCGTCGTGCGTCGTGCGTCGTCTGTTAACATTTTACATTTTCAACTTAAGCTGAAATAGTGTAGAAGGAATTTCATTTCTATTTCTTGGGAATGTTACTGACATCTCCATGATTAAGTGTTGTTATTTTTCGGGTTGCTTAGAAATCCAATATGGCCGCCAATGCCGCCATTTTGAAAAACAGATTCAAACTGAAAGTCAGGTTCCAATGGGCTTATTTAACTGAAACCTTGCAGGAATGAACGACACATGGTCCTGACAAAGTGTTGTTAATTATTTTTCGGATCTATCAGAAATCCAATATGGCCGTCAATGCCGCCGTTTTGAAAATTAATTGCTTGGTCAATGCCACCATTACTATGTATAGAAAATTGTCAATCTGTGAGATACATTTTCTGTGGCAAAGGGCATTTATGTGTTTAATGTTAACAATTTAATAATGTTGATCATATTACAACCACACCAGATAAAACCATGTCATTCTCTAAATAAAGTAAAGAATATGTAGTGTGTAGTATAAGGAGACATTGAAGTTGTAGTGCACTATTGTTTGTGCATGCTTTTACTCCCTTTTTATCATAGTTATTATGTACAGTCATCAATGTAAAACAAATCTAATGCTGATTTTGTAACAGTAGCGAGACGGGTCCAGTTTTGTTTTATTTCCTTCCGCATAAATGTATAGTGTTGTGCTCTGAAGCCATATTGGCTATCTGTAATCTAATTGTGGTTAGACCAAAAAATATAAAAATGTTCATGAATATGTTTTTCTAGACATTTTGATAAAACAGGAAGTACTGATATTGGCCTTAAGTTACACAAAAGTTATTTTTTACCCTTTTTAAAAAGAGGGCTGGCTTTCGCATACTTCCAAACTTCCGGAAAATTGTTGTCAATACTAAAATGCATTAGTTTACAAACAATTGGAGCAATGGATTTAGCACAGTACTTCAAATGTTTGCGCTTATTTTGTCGAGCCCTGTGGCTTTGTTGACATCTATATTCAATAAAAAGGTTTCAATAAAAGTAGTGTTAACTTTAGGGAATATTTTGAAGAGTCGTTATTACATGTTACTTTTACATATTGATCAGCTATATTAGTGAAATACTCATTAAAACAATTTCCTATTACAGCTTCATCAGTAATATCATTGTCATTTGGATCTTTTATAAAACTCGTTAAACTGGAAGATTTCTTTGGACATAGTTTTTTTGTAATTCTTCCAGTTTTTATTGAAAGTTTTACACTGATCTAGAAAAGAAGTGAAAAAAGTTGATTTTGTACATTTGTGTGTGTTCCTTATTTGTATTGCCATGTTTATATCATCAGTCCACCAGTCGGGGATTGCATGTGTTCATTGTTCATTGAGCATCAACATCTTTAGTTTCTATGTTTTGCTTGAATGCACTGCAATCCTTGTTTGATTGTTTTATGTTATAGGGCAGCAAACGTATATATTCTAGGGCAGAAAACAATGACATTATCAGCTGGGAAGAGTACTTCATGGGCGTAGCTTTGTTGTCTTTCAGGCGAAGCAAGGACCCCAATACGAAAGTGCGTGTCGCCATGTTATCTACTTTCTGTTGTTTATAAATGACTTAACCTACCTGAGTCCGACTATAGATAGTGTAGATAAGTGTGACACGATACCGCTTGTTTCTATTTACAACCCCTGTAATTTTAATATGTTTTGAATTATCAAAAGCTTTGAAAATGTTTGAAAGGCTAAGAAATGTATTCACTGTAAAAGATAACCTGAAAATTTGATAAAAGATTATTGTGTAAGTTCATTGGTTCCAAACAAAACGAACGTGGGTCGACATGTAACAAACTAAGATTAAATGTTGAAGCATCATTGTGGATGGAGAAGAATTTTCATTCGAAAAAGAAAACGAGTTTATTTGAAATGTAGAAGGTTGTTTGTGCAATTATCTGTGCTAATTGTTCTATATTTTACATTGGACGAACTAGTTGTGTATTACGTCAAATCATGAAACTTCACAGACAACAGACAACTCGTGACCATCTTAGATTTTTAAATGTATATAAACATATTCATTCTTATGCAAATGATAAATGTCTGATTGAGCAATATCTATTTTTCATATTGTATTTGGCATAGTTTCAAATAGCTTAACAAATGTATTGTCCTTTTGCTAAATATATATCCCATTATCACTATGATATCCAAATGTATCTCTATTTATCCCTATTTCGCTTTTTTTTTTTATTCAGAAGTATATTTATTAATTACAATTCCTCCACCTTCTAGTTCTAGTTCATCGATTTTTTGTGATATTTCAGGTTGGAGCTTGTATAGTAAATAAATTCAAAAGAATAGTAGGGCTTGGATACAATGGCTTCCCTGATAACATCCCTGATAACGATGACAAACTCCCATGGGGAAAATCGTCAGAGAAGGATGCGGACGGGAACGTGCAAAACAAGCATCTATATGGTAATATTATGAAAGTTCTTTAAATATGATTTCGTCGATCCTCTGATAACAGATGTTTTGGATTTCACATTTATGTCAAAATACATTTATCAGATAATATGTAAGCGTTATTAATTCTAAATCGCCTAAATCAGCGTGTGGTAGTTTTCTAGCCTTCAAAATAATAAATATGAATTAATTTATGTTGCATGAGGTTTGTTATAAAAATTGCATTACCTTACAGGATCACTATTCAATTACAAGTACGAATGGCAAATTCAAAGTGCCGATGGTACTGTAAACGTAGACATAACAATGTTAACTGTATACATGTAGATGATAGTACGTTTCATGAACAATAAAATCATGTCAGCGACGGCATTTTAGAAATTAGTCATGCAGTCATTATTTTTTTTATAAAATACTATTATCAATGATATAAAACTGCACGAGAACCGCCCTTCCTTTTGCCATCAGTCCCAATGGATCAGTAGCAGAAATGAAGTAATTTTACAGGATGTTTGTAGGTCAGAATTTCATTGAAGCACAATTCAAATTCTTATCTGTCTCCGTAGGTCCCGGAAAATATCTAAGCTTGTCGAACGCACATGCATTTAGAAATATTGATTTAATTATAAAAAGATAACATGTATGCTCTTTTTTATCAGTTAGGTATTGTACAGCATATTTTTGGAATTTAATAAACGCAATGTTAAGATCACTTACTTTTGACTTTGTGATTACACTATGGACAGTGTATTTTACAATGATAATTTAATGGTTAAATGGAAATTTTCCTTCAGTGTGCCATGCGGAAATGAATGCCATTGTCAATAAGCTGTCGGTGGATATTACCGACTGTACCATATACACAACGCTGTTTCCATGTAATGAATGTGCCAAACTCATCTGTCAATCTCGCCTTGGTAAAGTCGTCTACTTAAAAAGAAAAGATGAAGATGACGAAGGAAAAAATAAAGCAGCGGAGAACATGTTTCAAATGGGAGGAATACAAATGGTGTAAGTGATTAACATACTAAATATATATGATACAAAAATCAGCAATTGTTTCATAGTTTGTTGTTCCTACCTAATTCTAGAGCACTGACAGGCCAGCAAGGGCCTCGCTATGTGCCTGCCAGACCCAGCCAAACCGAAACTCATTCACCCGTCTATTTTAAGTTACAGTAACCTTGACCTTTACATATTTTAAATCCCTTTTGCACATTTACATACCACAGTGAATCACCATGTCAAATTAAAAAAAAAGTAGACTTTCGGTTTCCGAGATAATTTCAGGAAACGAAAGTATGGACGAACGAACGAACAGACAGACAGACAGCAACTTGATTACTATAGGGCACCAGCATCTATGATGCGGGCCCAAATTATACTTATATTATTTGCCTTTAAAAAGTTAAATGAAGAATTTGTGGCTGGTAATTTTCGTAATCTACATCAATTTAACATATTTAAAGTCATAATATAATTAAAACAAAATTTACCGACAGAAAGACATATAGTTAATAATGTTGTGATGTTCCCATCCTAGTTCACCAGTTGGTATTGTAAATTCGAAGCTTTTAATATCAATGGTTTTAATACTTGCGAACAAAAATATTAAATTTAGTGGTTAATAACGAGTGAGACAGAAAAAGATATAGAAAAATATTTAAATAAAAGTCAATTTTATTATAGCATTGCTTCGTCTAAATTGTCTCGATATTCTACCCGGTCCAGTACCTCTAGAACCATTGTTTAAATGTGGTTATAAGGCATCGTTGTTAGTAAAAAAAAGGCACCAAAATATAACGTATTTTCTACGTTGATTAAACAATAAAGTAAAACAGAATTCTTTTTATATTACGTCTTTCTGTGTGACGTCATGCTATATACAATGTTTCCATCGTGCTCTGTTTCTTCTGAAAAACAAGCATAAATGACGAACAACAGAATTTTAAAAGAAGTAGAATCTGTTGTAGAAATTTGATGCTACCCATTGTTTACATAAATCTGGTCGTGACCTTCATTTCTTAAATATTTAGCTCCCTGTCGCACATGTGTGTTGGGATATTTACTCCAGATTAAATGATGCATTAAAATAGTATAATTATAATAAATGCAAGCGGAAACTCCCTTAGAACTAATACAAACGTACTTGAGTTGCTTTAAGTTTAAGCTACAAACCTACACCACGAGAAATGGGAAATATACAGTAGTTCGATCGCCTTGTTGTATTGCGAAATGATATATTGTTTTAAAAAAGTTAAATCTTTTGTTTTGTTTTTGTTATAGGAAATACAAACCTACGCGCACAATAGAACTGGAGATTTGAGACCACGATTTTGTACTGTGATGTCCTTGAACAATGTGCAAATTTCCCGACCAGAATATCTTCTGTTTGTGTGACCGTTGAATGTGATTGACAACGCTAATGATGACTTAAACAGTCAAGTGTAACGCTGTGTTATCTTATTATTATGTTAATAAGATTTAAAAAAAAAAAACGTTTCCAAATAACAGTTAATGAAAAAGACGTATTATTGATCCCAAACAATAAATTAAATTTCAATTAAACATTCTGAGCTCCTAAATGATTGGTTTCTATTTTTGTTATTTAGTTAACAAGCTCATGTTTCCTGATAAAATTTGATATTTGAAGACTAATTATTGATTGCAATGAATAAATGGAAAATCAAATGAATTGTTTCCTTTAAATCTTAAAACAATAAAATATTATTTAGCTTCCAAATAATTGAATTTGGTTTTTATTTTGATATTATAAACGTTATTGTAATTATACATTTGTTTTGCAATTTTGGACTGAACACGATACAGACAATGACACTATGTTCAATTTTTTCGTCAGTTTGTTTTGAATTAAACGAGGACAAGTGTCAGCAACTCTAATTGATAATTGAAAAATTATGTAGCTGTATATAGCTGTAAAATAAAACCGCATGAGGTTGTCTAGGGATGCCCTTTTCCGATGGTAATTTATTAGTGAAATGAAAATGTTTTGGCAATCAAATATTATACTTAAGGCAAGCTTCACTTTGTGCATACTATTCAGCTTCAATGGGCAATATACAATTGACTTAGAGACTGTTTAAGTTGTTAGTTTTCTATTATCACACATCAATATACATCGGCATTCATTATGATTATATTTATTCGTAATATATCAATATGATATTTTCAATAGTTTTCTTTCAATAGTTAATACAATAATACAGATATGTAGCCATTTGTTTATACATAAATAGTGAAGCTAACCATACAGGTTTTAATAGTGGTAACTGTTTGCAAACGGTTCTACTTCGAAAAGCGGGGGATACAAACGAAAATACCCCCACTACTAATAAGAAATTGCGGCCTATGTACATCCTTTAATATGCAGAAATACTCTCTACTTTAAGCTTTACATGAAAGGGATCTAAGAAGTCTGATAATTTTAGCCGCCCTAGCCTCATATTTTATTACGTCTGCATCGTTCATTTGTTAAATAGGAAATATTCTAAATTTGTCATTACCACAAGCGCGTATGTATTAACTGACCGGTTAACAGGATACACTTACATATCTTTGGTTGAGATCTTAACATTTATCAGAATGTGTATAAGTTATGGACATAATAAATAAAAGAATTAATGCCGAGTTATTGATTTTAACACATGATCGAGTAAAACGCCTTGTTTGCATCACATAACGGAATGTCATGTAATCAGTACGACCTATTTTTGTGTTATCTATTACAACATTGTGCGCACTTTGAGATCAGATTGTTTTGTCGTCAGTCATAAGGCTATCGTCTACAACCTGATAATTGCACAGACATGTGAGAACATGAAGTCCAAAAAATAGGTAACTCGGTAACAGTTGATGTATAGCCTATAAGTATAATTATTTACCTCACAAAGGAAAACCACGTACGTGAAGCTACTGTGAAGTATGGCGTCATTAAGTATACAAGTCATTTTTCTTTATTAACATAATGTTTTCGTACATGGTATCTCATACTAAGGATACATCGAAAGTGAAAACGTTATTAATACATCTTGAGAGCGAATGCAGTTATCGAGAATAAGCAACGTTCTGTGAGAAAGGGATGCAAATAACGGTCAAAATGGAAGCTGATTTCAACCCTAATACCCTAGTGATAGCGATTACACATATTTAAAAACAATAAAAAATCGCTGCAGAGTGTTCACTCAGACAAACATACATGTGTAACAAGAGGCTCCTGTAGGATAAATATTAAAACCAATGATTAATGTACATGGAATAAACAAATTACTCCATCATAAATGAATTGTAAAGACAATGATTAATACATCTGCATTACAATTAAGTCATGATTATAATACATAACCAGTTAGGCAAGTGAAATTATGAAAAACACCTGAAAACAAGAACAAAACATATCAAAATTATCTGTTTTAACAGTGCAATTATAAATGTTCCTGAAAAGACAAACATTATCTGTAATATCAAAACATTTTAACACTGTAAATACATGACAGCGTTCAGCTCAATCATTCAAAAGATCAACTAAGAAAATCTTGAATATCCCAACATTGACCAAACAATGCCAGTATATGGAGGAAACACCTGAAAGCCTCCATCTCTTAGATCTACAATATTGAAAAATGAAAGTACATTACAAAAAAAAAATAATTAAAAAACAAATGGCAAATCATGTTATTGATTTTGTTACAATAAAAAACCATTCATTCTCCACTACTTGTCCAATGATGTTATCATTGTATCTAACAGGTCTCCGCCGTTCCCTCGTTGACGTTCGTACTTGAGGATTTTTAAAGTAATTTTTAAGTAATTTTAAAATGACCCCTGTGACCGCAAATGTTTGTCATAGTAGTTTATTAGAATAAACCTGGTAACTCTTTGTCACAACAAACTACAAGCCATATATAGTTAATCTTTTGTTGATTGAGATAAGTCATCTGGACTTTAATACTTTTGGAAATTTGATTGTTACCTATTTCACAAGTATCCTTCGAAAACACAACGTGGGTTAATAGAGTTATGTGAAATCATACTTCGTTGTCTATGGCATTGAGTTTATGTTTATAGACATATATTGTTCGTATGTTTGAGAAAATGTAGGCTTTTTAAATCTGCTCACGCCTTTACCTTTTTAATCTTTTCTACAGATCATTTTCATATGCTGCAATTGTTATCCTAAAAGACACTCCATTATTTAATTAATTATTCAAATACTCCATATTGTATTACAAACAGATATATATATACATATTTATATAAAAAAAATAAAAAAATACAAAGATTTTCGTAGTACCCCCTAGCGCGTTCACCTTTTTAGAGGTTCATCAGTGGATTGTGTAACCAGTGAAATTTTTAGTGTAAAACAATTTCATTGGATGCCATATATATATATATATATTTGACTGAATGATATCCTGAGCTTTGCTAGTCTGGGAATAGGACATAGTGTAGTTATGTGTCCTCTTCTAATTGATATATAAAAATAAATTACATGAGAAATATTTAAGGTCTCTAAAAACAGTTTTTCATACGAAATGGATCTGTTACAAGAGTGATTCTCTCATTGATCATAGGTAGGGACAGTTATATTCTTTATAGGGATTGCCTCCCTTGACCATAGTCCCAATCATTGAAAACAGTCATATCCTCAGCGAGACTTAAAATGGTGCACACCTTAAAAAATAAGATGTATTACAATATTTCGCAGTAACATGTTGTTTCCTAATAAAAATAATGAATTAACACAATTGATGAAAATATGTTTCGAAGATGACAAATGCAAATGTTATGCACATAGAAGCTATAGTTATATATTAGTGAAATGAAAATATTTTGACATTCAAATATTATACCTAAGGCAGGCTTGACTTTATGCATAATATTCAGCTTCAATGGGCAATATACAATTGACTTAGAGACTGTTTAAGTTGTTAGTTTTCTATTATCACTCATCAATATTTATTCGTAATATATCAATATGATATTTTCAATTGTTTTGTTTCAATAGGTAATACAATAATACATATATGTAGCCATTTGTTTATACATAAATAGTGAAGCTAACCATACAGGCTTTATTAGTGGTAACTGTTTGCAAACACTTCTACCCCTCATGTAGATCATTTTCTTTAGCCTAATCACTCATTGGACAAGTCCATTCTTTATTTTTAGGGTTCAAATTTGTTTGCCAAAAGAATGATAAGCTTCTCAGTACTTTAGGTGTGTGTGAACATCCGATCTCTAAACAAACAACCCATATTGTTTCAATAACAACACAAAGAAGTAAAGCAACTGTAAGACCCCCTGACCCGGTAAACCTGGCTAAGCAGCATAAGCTCACTAGAGGTTTATGTACGACGGATCAAATTAAAATGAATTAATGATACAGTTATAATACACATCGAAAGCAGTAATTGTTTAAAGGAACACAATAATGTTTGTTTGAAGATTTTATTAACATTAAATTAAAGTTTATGAAATGAAATAGCTGACATGCCAATTTGACGTCAATATTACAGGGTTACCATAAATAACAAGGGTTTTTGAATACCTTCACTAATCGTTAATTAAATAATTCATGAGTTGTTATCAGTTATGCATAAACTTTTACAGACGAGCGAATTAAGCCTGAAACATGTTGTTGAATACCTTTACTAATAATTAATTAACTAATTAATAAATTGTTATTAATTATGCATAACTTTCCACAGACGAGCGAATGGAGCCTGAAACCTGGTAGTGTGTATGTGCATACCAAAATTTGTTGAAGTAAGACCATCATTAAGCATAATTATTGCACAGAAACCAATTACCCAAGAAGAATATATAAATATAATTAGTTATAAATAAATATGCACGGATCATATTGACGAGCAAACTTAGTCTTTAACATTTTCATATGTACATGCACACTACATTTTGTTGAAATAGGACCATTATTAGCGTAATTTTTGGACGGAACCGGAAACGTGACAGACGGACAGACGGACCCAAACTAGTATCCCCCGAATTTCTAGGAAAAGCGGGGGATACAAACGAAAATACTCCACTACTAATAAGAACTATGCAGAAATACTCTCTACTTTAAAGGGACATCACGTGAAGAGCCATATTTTTTTTAATGAATGTATGTGTGGTATGCTCTTCCACCTATGTTACCTTGCTATCCCAATAGTCATAGTCTGTTCTAAATGTCCAGTTTGACCACTTGAATTGTTCGGGAAAGCCCTGTTAAAAATAGCGCCTGGCAGTTTTGCAACGAGGCAGTAAACACAGGTGGTCTGAACGAGATCCAAAGGGGCCCCCAGAGAGGGGCGTCCAGGCAACTGCAACTTCTTACCGCACTATGAAACCAAGTAATATGATTTCTAAGTCCGTGTTGAAACTTATTGAATCAGCAATTATTCATCATCAGAAGTTAATTGCACATGTGCCAATATTCAGAATTTGAATGAAAAAATATTTGTTAGCAACTCGGCATTATTTATAGACACCAGGAAATATCTATTACCGGAATGTGACCGTACAAATGGAACGGGGCTGAACACCTTCCATCAACCAAGGGACAAACCTTTCTGTATAAAGGAATATTCACGAGATGAATACCCCTTTTTAATTGTTTTCATAAAGTGTATATGCATTGACAAATATAAAAAAGAGAAACGTTTGTGAATTTGTTTTTACATTGTACAACTCAATGTCTTCGACCACTTTTTTTTCTATACC